ATGGGGACCCTTCAACAGCGGGGCTGTCCCTGCTTCCCCGGCGCTGGGGGGGCGGGGTGCTCGTCAGGTTTAGGGTCCCAGCCCTTGGTCTGGGAGCAGGGCAGGGAGGCTGCCAGGCAGCAAGGCAAGTGAGGGACGGGATGGGACAGGGACAGGCCACGGGCTGCACAGGGGGCCAGTGGGGAGGCGATGGCTTTGCCTCACTGGAGCCAAGGACTGGGGAAACCGCGGCAGCTCTGCCACTCCTGGCACCAGCTGCGAGGTTTTGGCAAAGCCCTGGCGTATTCAGAGCCACTGGAGCAGCCGGTGGCGACTCACCGCTGCTGCTTTCAAGAGGTCTGCGGAGAAACCTGCAACGAAGCGGGAGCGGGTTATAAAACATCCATGACCGTATGTACAGACGGTCGGGGCATGTTCTAAAGCAGCTCCAGGTTTAAAGTCTGGGAAGGGCCTTTTCTTTGTCAATTTAATAATGTTTAGTAAATGCGGGCAAACGCTATGCAGAGAGCAGCCCCCCGTACTGCCCTGCAGCCTGCGCCAGCCCGGGCAACCCAGGGTGCCTCAGGGTGGGTTTAGAAGACAAAAAGTGATAAATCTGCCCCTGGAAATCTGTCTGTGCGGATTCCTAATGCGGTGCCGGCTGCAGCTGGGAAAAACTCCCACTGCCTGCGGGTGCTGAAGGGGGCACAAAGCAGAGCGCAGGGAGTGCCAAAGCCAAGTGGGTCGGGAATGAAAAGCAGCGCGGGATGGAGCATCCCCAGTGCCGGAGGGTGGAAGGGGGTCCCTGGGACAGGGTCAGCTTTAGGGGGACAAGAGGTAACTCACGGAAACAGAGAGCGATGGCTGCCGGGGCCGGGGCTGCCCGCACCATGCTGCCTGTGCCGGGGCTTCGTCCTTGGCGCGGGTCAGGTGAGCACAGAGCGCAAACGGGGAGCCGCGTCCCACACGCTGGGACGGTGCTGGCCGTCGGCCGGGCTGGGGAACGTGCCAAGTGCCGGGGGGGTCCGCCAGCCGATTCTTTCGTCCGATGCTGGGGCTGGAGCCGTGGGAGTACGGTGGCTCAGCGTGCCCACCCGTGCTCTGTGAGTGTCTGCACAAACCCCCCCACAACCGAGGCAGAGATTTTAAATCCTATATAACAGAAAACAGAATTTCATCCGCCATCCATTACTAAAAGAAACTCCACAATAAATCGTCCTCTCGGACACCCAGAGCCCCGCTCCCGCCTGTGCCCTGCAGGGCCAGGGTCCCCCTCCGTCCCCCGGCTCCGCACGGGACCACACCAGCACAGACTGGGAGAAAACCAGTGTAAGCCAGTGGCGGAGCACCAGCAGGCATTGCCCTCCCCCATACCCGACTCCACACCCCTCAGCTAGAAACTCCCCAATGGAAAACAAATCCCCGCTCTAGAAATGCCGTCGACGGGCTGCTCAGCGCTGCCCGGAGCAATTGGCTTATTGCCCTTCGAACTAGATGCGAGTAGTTTTTCCGCTAAGCCTCATCATGTTCCCTAAATCCCACCGGTGGCCTTGCCAAGTCGCTCTCCGTCCGGGGGCACTTGGCTCGGCGGCGAGGATTCGGCGCTGCTCAGCCGGGGAAGGTGCTCACCCACCTGCGGTGGTTGGGGATGGGCAGCGCCAGGGACGGCTCAACACTTATCTGCTGCGGGGTGGGGATGTTGCTCTGAAAACGGGGTGTGACGGGGCAGTTTCTCAACAGTGTTTTGTAAAGCTGCTTTCTTTCCTGGTCTGGGTTTTTTCCTTTGTTAAGGGTCACTTTGAACTTTGGGGCAAATGAGTTAAATCCTCTGGTTTGGTAATTTCTGTGCTCCTGATGGAGACAAAGGTCCTCCCAGTTAGTGAAAAACCTTTGAGCTATTCGGGGGTATATTTTATAGGGCAGCTGGAGTGCGGAACAGACGAGTCCTTGGTGATGGGCTCAGCACCCCTCAGGAAGGTGCTTCCCTCGTGCCCGTCCTTTTTGCCTTGGCCGTGGACAATCCCGTTCCCCTTTTTCCAGCTTTCTCCCTGCCATTTCTGATCACGCACTGAAACGCCGTCCAGCACGTGCCATGAAGAAGGAGACCACAAAGAAAGGAAGCAAAGCCTTTCCGAGGCTGCGTGATGCAAACCCAGAGGAGCCCGATGCTGTGCAGCAGCGAACGTTATCTGAGCATTTATCCCGGGAGAAGGGAAGGGCGAGAGCAGTCGGCAGCGGTCGGCTGGGCTGGCCGCCTGGCCGCACCACCCGCACGGCCGGCTTTGGGGGCATCAGCCTTCGCAAAGGGTCCCTGGACCTGCGGCGCTGAGCGGGGTTAGCCATCCCCCGGTGCTGCCGGCTGGTGTCCCCGTCCGCCACCGAGCAACCGGTCCTGCAGCACCAGGGCTTGGTCAACGCCCCGCGGGTGTTTCTGGTTTCTATTTTGGAAGGGTTTGCTATTAAAATAGTTCTTGTTGGAGTGATAAAATTACAGAAACTTGTTTGCTACGAGGCTGCTGGTGGGACACGGCCCCTGCCGCAGGCTTGCCGGCCAGAGGGGGCTGGAGCGGGAGGGCAGGGGCACATCAGGGCCCGTTTGTGGGTCACCGCATGTTCCCATGGAGCTTAAAACTGGCCCTGAAACAACCTCGGGAGGAACGGGCACAGGAGCATCCACCCCAAACCTGAACGTGCCGGGAAACATCTGCCCAAGCCCCGGCCCCTGGGGGCTTGGCGGGTCGGTGGTGGACTCCGACTGCATCTCCCCATGCTGGACGGGCTGGAAACGCTCCCTCCTCTTACCCAGCTGCTTCTCTGCCCTTGCCAGTTTTATAATCTTAAAAACCTCACAACCTGAAGACTGCAAATAATTCCTTTGGGTCTTCGCTCACTTTTCCAGCTGCTCCAACCTGAGAAATGACCGTTGATGTACAAGAGTTACATAGAAATCATGCGTGGCGGCAGCTTTCCCTGTGCACCCCTCAAACACCGGCAGCCCTGGGGCTGCTCCCCCATTTCCCCACCAGGGAGAGCTGCGGTGTTTCCAAATCAGGAGTTTTTCTTCCACCTCTGCTATTTGGTTCAGGGCAATCCCAGCTGCTGGTGTTGGCCGGTGTGGGCAGCGGGGAGGGATGGGCAGGGACGGGCAGGGGAAGAGCTGGGGCAGCAGCATCTGCTGCAGCCACCCCGCGCATCCTTGGTCGTCT